CCTTTCTCTTAGCCATTTACCTATGTAGCTATCCATCTATATATTTTACTTCTTGATCTTTAAAAATTTTTTGCCACTTCTGAATCTATTGTTACAAACAATTTTGTTTTGCCTACAGAAAATGTTCATTCAAGTATAAAGATTTTAATTTGTTTTTTATCATTTTGATCACGAAAATGAGATAGTAGTGTGACAACATTTAATCCACAGAAAAGATTGTAAGAAGTCATGCATTCCAGTAAATATAGCTTTTATATCCCACTGCATAAATAAGTAAAACTGATGAAAAACCAATAAATAAATAAACAAACTAAAATTTCTGCCTGTTTACCGTAACCATGATCCTAAAATCCAGAGATTATGATGTATATGACAGAGTACAAGCAGTGAGAGCATAGCAATGTGAACTGTATGGTAAAACACTTTTGTTTTTCATCATCCAAAAAGTCAACCGTCTTTTAACTAGGCGTAAAATCAAGTGGGATTTCGTGGGAATTAAAGAGATGGGGTCAGATATAATGGCAGCCTTGCAAGTGCTGTGCAGCAACGAACAAATGCTGACAAAATTTCTCCAATGACATGTTTCTGGTTGTTTCTTTTTGAGTTCATACTGTAGAATTGGGCCCCATTCCCATAGAAACCATCTGATCAGTCTACATAGATCAATCCAGCTCCGTTGGGATTCTCATTTAGGCTGCGTTCACATGAAAAATCTATTTTCTAAAAATCTAAAAATCTATTTGCGGTATCTTGTGATCAAGGTCTATGCCCTTAATACCCTGCGGCGTAATTACCGGCAGTGCCGAGAATCAATTACAGCTTTGGAAGTAACTGGCTCAAGCTGCCCGTAATTACGCCGTGGGATATTCAGGGCACAGACCGTGATCACAAGATACCGCAAATAGATTTTTAGATTTTTAGAAAATAGATTTTTCATGTGAACACAGCCTTAATGCAATCAGTTTAACAGATCAAACATACACAGTCAAAGGGATAGAATGGGTCCACTTTGGAAAAGTTTTGATAGTCTTTTTTTGCAAAAAACCTGGCTTCATTTTAAACCCAAGATCAACTTCGCCTTTCCAATTTTACCCTAAGACCCCATACCCAGAGATTAGATCGATCCAACTAGATCGACCTAACTCCCTAGGGGTTCACACTAAATAGCTGTCAGCCGAGCGGGCACGAAAGTTAATTACCCCCTTTCATCTTGTAGGAGGAGGGACGGACATTTAAGCCGGATTATCTGACAGTAATCTAGTGAGACTCCCCACGGGGATAGTTTGATCTAAAATCTATGGGAATGCGCCCTAAGACTTGTTTTCAAGTAATACCACCAATATTAATAATTTTCATTTAATGAGGAAATTTTACCCTCAATAGCTTGCATGGCCTGATTGAAACGGTTCTCTGGGTAAAATCAAGAAACACTATATAAATATGTCTCAGATCTCTTTTTTTAATGCCAAATAATCTTTTGGGAATTCAATAAGTCTCATTAGATCTGACAAAAATGCATCTATCATATTAATCATCAAAGATGTTTCAAAAATAATTTATCATTAATTCAATCATGCAATACCTACAGCAAAACTTTGTAAACATCAGTCGAGAAAGATCCGATGTCATGATGAAATATAAATATTATATGCATCCACAAGATAGAAAATGCAGATGAAGGGGCTTCAATTCAAAGTCAAGGACACTTGTAAATATTTGCAAATAATGGCTCATAACCAACTCCATCTGTAAGTCAAAAGGCAAATATAATTCATAATTTTTTAAGCAGTATCAATAAGGGTTTAACGCTCAATTTTTCCCTAACTGCCAGAGACTGCTTAATAGAACTGTTGAGGCAACCTTAGTATTGACGATTAACTCAGTGAGTTGGCTGTTCAATAACTAGGTAATAGCTGATGTAAAACATGAAACGCTTTGCTACTGCTGCCTGTATGTGGCACAGCAGTTTATCACATCCATTACCCCATTCATATATTCCTACGGGTCCACCAGATGAGTATTGAAATCGAAAATTTAGAGCCATTACATAACCTCTCTCTATTCATTTCTCCTTGCCCATAGAACATAAACTGTGTATCAATAATTCATATGAAAAGCAGAAACAATCATACCTTTAGGAAACGAATAAAAATATGCTGCCAGTGTTAGTGTATGCAGAAATAATTGACATTTTTCACAGCATTGGCAGCCTGCAACATTAATACCTGCAACCTGACTTCAATCGGCCCCAATACCTAATTACAAAAAAACTGAAGCCAGCTCAGTGAAATTTTGGAAATTGCTACAGTTATTGGCCATTTTTTCTGCTTTGAACCACAGAGTATGTCCTTCAAAACTGGTTCCCTCAAAGGGCAGAAAGTGGACAGAAAGATTTTGGCATTGGTTCAACCGTCTGGAGCTGCTTTTTTTTATCAGACAAAAATAAAAGAGAATGCTACTTTCTAGTAAATCACTGATCAAAAGATTCATCATAGTTTTTTATTTATAGCTTATGAAGCAGGAAGATAAAAACTCACTTCAATCCTTTTTTATAAAGTGAGTTAATATTGAAAATAAGACAAAAATACTTTACTCGCATAAGCATGATTCATACTGCAAATGGGAAATGCTTGCTTCCCCTTCCGCCCCCCCCCCCCCCATCCTCCTCTTCTGACTCTTGCCTTCTCCTTCCTCAGGTGTGTGCTATAATTTTAAACCTTCATTATTAATTCAAAAAAATACCACCTCCTATTAACCTAATTCCAAATTCTTTCGCTAAAAAAAACGGGGTCACTCATTTTAATGGCACGGTTGCTAACCATGGTTTCATTCAATTATTTTTCACAGCTGTATGCATGCCAGTGAGAAGTGCTGAAGTGCAACTTGACCTAACTCTCTCTGTATTCGGATCGTTTCTTTCGTCCCATTAAAAAAATGAAAATAAAATGTCGCCTGATAGGAAGAAAGATTTATTTCAAATTCATTATATGTGGCATATCTAACTGGATAAACACCTCTGAAATTTAAGTAAGAAATCAATGTATGAGAGATTTGGTTTCACTAAAGAAATATGCTGCACTGTCATAGAAATGTCTCGAACATGTTGAAAACAGGGTAAAATGCAGGTAGACCAACAGGCATACGCTGAGGTGAAAAAGTCAACTACAGTTCAAAAATGGAGTATTTGCTAATCAGTAATGGCTTCTAATCGCCCAATGTCATCATATATTATAATGATAAAACAAAAGTCATTAAAAATGTTAACAAAAATTTACTGAGGTGAAAATCTGATAAAAATTAACTCGTGGACGTTTTTTATCATGAACAGAGAAAAAAATTTTTTTTCAAATCCTGTGTGTAATAACTCTCTACCAAAGACCACCAGACTAATGATGTCAATTCTATAAAAAAAAAAAAAAAAAGTATGAAACCGTTTGATAGAACCAATTATTTCTGCACGCAAGTAAATCCTTCTGACTTTGCATAGCTAGGAACTCTGCTTATTGCTCAATGAATCTTTACCTTTTATTTTTTGCCTGGGGTCTACAAGGAAAACCTTAAACTGGTTATGATCTATTATGATTACTGCGTAATTCAGAGAAAGCAGATAAGAGGATAATATGGGGGGGGGGGGGGTAGAGCATTAGCCAGGCAATCATCCAGCTGTCTTTTAAGCCACATTCAGAACAGTGGACTAACTAGTCCGCAGATCAAATATGGCGACCCACTAAAAACTTGCCCAAAATTACATCACGCGATGAACTTGGAGTTTTGTTTCAAGCATAATTAGATGTTTTGAAGATACATTAAATGAATGCAACAGGAATAAAAAAGGTAAGGCCTTTAATTTAAGATTAAATCTCCAACCTGCAGTCCTACCTTAAGAAATGTGCCAAAGCAATGAAACTTTTTCACCCTGGTCATAACAAGCATGTTCATTTCGAGCAGCTTAAACATCACGTGCAAGGAAGCCAATTAACAGTATAGCACAGCTCAAATAATTAGAAACCAAATGATTAACAACAAGATAACAGCAGAACACAAAAGGATCAATAGTCCAAATATAATGCGTGTATGTGGGGCTGAAAATGCTGTATTTGAACAGTGTAGCAGCTATATGCATGTTGTTAGGGGTGAATTTCTTCCATCGACACTACATTGGCTTGGTTAAAACCATAATTTCCACCTATGCACATTGCTTAATTGACTTCAACTGATCAGAATCAATGCTAATAACTTGCTCTTTGGGCCATAAGTAGTTCAGCATCGTTTAAAAGAGGCAAAGGACTTGCCTCCCACCTGACTGGGTTACCAAAGTCAAAGTTGTCACGGTCATTGGTTTTTTAAGAAGGCAGGCCAGGCAGGCCCAAATTAGCAAACCCCATATGCCAAACGCATTGACTGAAGGTACTGGTTAGCATATATTAATATAAGAGGGTAAAGAGTGACCTTAAAAGCCTGCTAACTGTCTCAGTTGGTATGTACAGTAATTAGCATGCGGTTTCACATGTGCTAACGCTATAAGCTGCTATTTACGTTTTGTGAGGTATAAGTATTTGTTTTAGCACTACTATCATAAACTGCACAAATCAAAAATGTGCGCTTATATAAGCATGAAAGTTTGTGCTAAGTTGGTAATATGACATGTAAACACACATAACCGCACAGTGAAAGAGAGGGGGATGGAGGAGAGAGAGAAACATTGGCAGCAGTAACTAGAATGTAAGCAGTGGTACAACTAGTACATGTTATACGGGAAATTACCATAATCTGACCCCGTTACTAGAGAGCTTATACATGTACTAGATTGCGGGGTTGTCAATTTCGTTCTGGGTCATTCCTTCCCATATAGTTATCCTTGTTCTTCATTGCGTTGACTTGTGTTTTCCTTGTACCCTTGGCAATAAACAAATATTACACTAGTCCCGTAATTATATAAATGCCGATCTTAGCCAAGTTGTGAAATTCTACATGCAAGTTCAAGTAAATGTTGGCCTTACCTCTGACATCGTCTTGGTTATCCGTGCTTCGGAATTCTGCCTGTTCTTCTTTCCCGGCAACGGTGAAATAGATCACCTTGGTTGCCATTCTATGCGTCCTGTGCAAAAGATCGGTTGTCTCCAAGGCTGAATCTCACGTCATTTTCTCTCAGTGTTGGGGTAAAATCCACTCGCGCTTAGCAGCCGCAGTGTAACTTACCGTAGACCAATGTAAACATGCATGTGCCCGCGGAGTGGGGAACGTAAGGAAACAGGTGTATCAATTTCAAAAATTTTAATTATTTTAGCCTGTTTTATTTTCCCCCATGCATGCATACAAACAAGTCAACAGCAATAATAATGCTATCTGAATAATATCAAGCATCACATGTCTCTTCAAAGGAACAGCGGAAGCTCTTCCTAAATGCAGGTGAGGTTTTCACATATCACTTTTACTTACTAGCACTTATCGATTGCCCTGCCACCTGGGGTCAGTTGCGCTGCCTTCAACAGGTCAACGCGATCAATAATTTATTTTATAAGATTCAGAAAAGCATGTAACTTGAGCTGCCTGAGGTAGATTTAACGTCAAAATTCTTTTCTAATGAGCACATTTAATATGAAAGAGTGTATCGACGGCGTTGATAAATTATTCATTTCCAACTACAACTCGATTTTGGGTGCCTCCATTTAACTATGATATAGGTTCGGAAAATCGCCCCAAAAATTTTGCGGGGGAAAAAAGGCCAGGGAACTTCGAAAAAAACTAGTTTTGAAAACTAGAAATAAGAAGACTCCACAACAATAAGAATACGGTTTTATATCAATTAATAACTGTAATGTGATTATAATATATTTTTTAAAAAAACTAAATCAATGGTAAACACTCCTCCCACCTCTAACTTACTTGTTTGAATGCCATACTCGACGAAGAAGGGGACAACATGCTTTACCTTCAATGCTTAATATCCAGGTTGTGTAGGGGATCGCTTTGTGAAAGATTGGACACTACCATGCGTTACAAAACTTCTCGCTGTTAGACTATGTGAGGTGCATAAATCATTTCCCTCAAGGCTCTATCATGAACAAATAGGCCTAGAGCACGTTTTGCTCGCCGTTATAATAAACTGAGGCTCATAATAAACAGGTGGAGAAAATAGGTAAACAAGAGTGAGGGAGAAACGAAATATAACAACTAATTAAGCAAGACATTAACGGCTTCATTACGTAGACGTGTTATATGCTGTGTGCGAAATGGATGCGGCTACCGTTATGTTACGCAACCTGTTTGCAACTCTTCGGGCTTTTAAAATCGACAGTAACATAGGAAAATACATAGCGTAGACCCATTATAACAGAATTTTGTATCTGAAACAGTTTTCATTAAAATTGTAGGAGTTTAGTTAATTGAACGGGTCGGCATAGGGGTATAATGAGGGCATTGACTTGATATGGGAGATAACATGGGCGCATTTACATATCAATAGTTTATTTTTCATTTGGATGAAGTCCTTAGCATCCATTTATTTATTATCTTTTTAATATATTTTCTCATTTTTGGAAATAAATCTATTTTATCCATTTCTACTATCTAAACGCGATATTCAAGTAAGACCTGGCATATTTCAGATCCACTTGTGTTGAGTGCATAAGTGTCGGTGTACTTTACTAAGTAGTCTACAAAGGCATATTGATGAACCTAAATGCAAACGTCATCTAGGTTTAAAATATTACTGATCGCTGTACCAGAAATATTGATTAATTGCCCTAGATTGTCCCTGTCCTTATTTCATATTTGACTTTAAATCTAGATCGGAGATAAGTCGAATCGAGAGAAATGCCGATAATAATACAAAATCTGTACCTTTCGAGATGTAGATGGGGAGAACTCTTATCTCACTGTCAACAGTCTAAACAATAGCGTAAACAACTCTTTTATCTCACTGTCAACAGTCTAAACAATAGCGTAAACAACTCTTTTATCTCACTGTCAACAGTCTAAACAATAGCGTAAACTGGACGTACTGCAATCATTTTTTGATTGTGTTAGTTGTGTCTCAAGAATATTTTTGGAATGTGTTGGCGCAACAGCCGCAATGCGCAATCACCCGAACAAAGCATCCTGTTTTGTCTAAAACCGTGTCATCATAACAGCGGCCAAACAGAATGCATAGATTTGTTTGTAATCGGTATTCGAAATGCAGTTCAGGAGGGTCCTGACGCCCCCCCCCCTTCGCTTTCTGAAAAAAATTACACTAATATTCCCCTCTTGAAATTAGAATTTTGACTAGTTGAATCAATGTTCCAAACCGTACCAAATCGCACCGTTAGATCCCTGTACGGTTTTAAAGTGGTCGGTTTGCATCGGGTGGTTCTGTTTCTCTGACGTCACTTCGTATCCTGAACAGCTGCACTGTGCAACTACCGGTATTGCTTATACTTCCGTACAATGCGTCCTTCTTTCTTCATTAACCTAGCTTATGTTTTGATCCACTCGTGCCTAATTTGCAATTAAGGATGACTGAAGTGCGTAGATTACCCCACGCATTCGATTTGTTTATTCCAATGGACATTAGGATCACTTTGCCACCGATAACCTATCACAAACCTCCCGAAAAACAACTTCTGCTCTGGATATAAATACACTCGATGTTGTGCTATTTTGTCAACCTTATCAACGCGTTTACATGATACACCATAGCAACTGCAAAACTTGTTCAATCATAATATATAAAAATATGAATGGGCTTTAACATAAAGGTATACCGTTTTGACGCAGTGTTTCCTATGTCAGTAATTATTCAAAGGAACGTTCGTGAAAGTGGCAACGGTGATTTATTATCCAGACATTCTCATTTCTTCGATTTGAATACTGGTGCGTTTATTTATTAATATTTGTTTTAAATAAGTGGATTTATAATTCATTGTTATGTTAGTTTTGCACTGTTGAGGACCACAATATTTCATGAAGGCAAAGTGATGACGCTGTCTGACAGCGCGTTTTGAATAGGCCTAACACGTGACAACGGACAGAAGAAAGTATTTCCTCGAAAAGCAGATTTCATCAATTGCTCGGGTGAAAAAAAAAATCGATATTGTTTTCATAGACCAAAAACGTTCAAAATGACGGACTTTGGCATAAAAGACATCAACCTTCATATAGGCAACGACACGTTCACCATCAAAGCAGATACACTGGCCAGCGAGAGCGGCGAGATTGACGTCACGACACACGTTTTCAAGGAAAATAAAATTAACGGTGAGTGCGAAGAGGAAGACGATGAAATTGAGATCGACGTGTCTGCCATAAAAACGACGGAGATCGTCAAACGTCCCGTGGCACCCACCCCCAACGCCGAGACAAAATACTCCCCTTACACGACACCAACCCACAGCAGACCATCTTCTAATGACGTCACTGCTGCTTTAGATAATGCGCAAGACCAAAATCATGACGTCACAGATGACGTCATCGAAGTGGAGCACATAACAATCCCAATTGAAATCCGAGTACCCCAGAAAACATACGAACTAATAAAGCGTCCCCCTACTGAGGAAACAATCTTTGAAGAAATCGAGGACGAGGAGGGGGAAGAGGAAGAGGGCGATGGCGAAGCAAAGGGTGGAAACACCACAGAGAGAAAAGACAACGCCAAAGATACCTCCGGACAGTCAGACACCTCTGCCGGCCTGCCAAGCCAGCTTCGCCGAGCTCTGAGAGAGGAGATCAGGCAACGCGCAGAATCCGTTCTCGACAGCAGTCGTTATGGAGATACAGTCACCCCTAGTGCTTCCTTGCTACAAGATACTGGAAAACAAAGTCCTGATGGGAAGAAAGATGCGGCTTCATCAAAAGGAACAGCCGGGAATGATGAGGGTGATAGAAAGGTTGGGTTTTATATATATATATATATATATATATATATATATATATATATATATATATATATATAATTGTTCCACCCCCATCCCCCTCCTTCACCCCCCGATTTCTCTCTTACTCATGCCACCAATAGCTACATATATGATTTTACTTGTTTCGTCTAATTTGGCTTTTTTAAAATGATACCCTCTCCTTTTTGTGGATATGATTTTGCAATATGATCAGGTTTCCGTCGAAACTTGCCAGTTAAATTTTGTCACGATGGAGAAAACTAGGTAATATGTTACTGGAATTCAATCACTGCATTGTATCATGTTTACGTCTGATTAAGCCGAAAAAGGTTACCGAGCAGGTGTAATTATACACGTGTCTTGTATGGAGAGATGCGGGAAGGATGCGCCCTCTAAAATACCCCAAAAATCCCACGTCAACCCCCCCTTCAAATAGCCTTGGATCCGCCCCTGGCCTCTTATGGGTCAATTGGGATGTAGATATTGTTTGATGATTAACATCTGTGTTATATTAGTACTTTGCTTTAAAAAACGACCAAATTTACCTTAAAACAAATATAGTACACCCCAATTCATTTTTTCATGTACCAGTACCAGTAGGTCAAATGAAGTCGGGTGCATTATGGGTATACTATGTTAGTATAGGTTTTATTTGATGATCAACACTTGAAGACAGAATACACCTCGACATCGAGGCCAATGAACACATTGTACTAACCCTTAATCCATAAAAACGGTTCTTAAATTATTTTCAACAGTGTGAGAGATGAGAAGAATATTGATCCGCTGTCTGGAAAATCGGTCGTTAAAAGCATCGACTGTCGTTATACAGATTTCTCCCGGCCTAAATTGAAAATAGGCCCTGGCACTTTGATAGTCAATAATCTTACGAGTATCGTTTAGTGGAAACAAGTACATAACTGGTAGATTGTCTTGCCAATAAAGGACTAGCTATACAAATTTGGGATGTAACTAAAGCCTGTAGTTGGATTTATTTACACTCGAATCAGTTCGATATTGCAAACAATGGATCGCTATGACGATATCGGGTAGTTCCGTCGGGAGCTCAACCTCTGTAGAAAAAATATCCGAAATCGAACGAGCAAATTAGATCTACATCTTCAAAAAGGCGTCCCGGAATACACCTTGCATTGGTATTGAATATTTTGCGCTCTTTAATCGTATCACGTAGTAGGCCTATGGGGGAGATATTCTGGTGTTTTCGCTCATCTTAAGTGACAAGTAATGTACGACACCATTCGTCAAGGATGGGCTGACTTAATGAGTAAGACGGATTATGATAGAGGTAGCTGAATATTGAATTGTAGCGTCTGGAGAATAGCTGCGACATATTTTCATGATGGCGCACGGGACGTATCTTGGCCGAGGTAGCAACAACAGTTATGTACAGGTATGGGGGACGCTGTATTTCTCTCAGTTTATATCTGACTTACGCTGTGTTACCTATATTGTTTAATTTATATCATGCTTTCTCTCTAAGTGGTGCTTGCGCTATAGTTTTACTTTAAAGGCGCTGAACGCGGGTTTGTTGTTAAAACCTTTAAATCCAAGTGTTGTCATCTAGATACCATAATTTGGGATATAATAGGATATTGAGTTGCATAATAATCCCACGGGGAAAACCGCTATTTTAGTGAGTTTGTCAGGTTGATATTGAATGCACTGATCTCCTCGCCGTTTGCAACATATCCTAGAGTCCTTCATATGGATTTCTTTTCAGAAGTTTTCACTGGCCTGTAGTCAGCTATTTCAAAGAGGTTCCATTTCTGAAAAAAAATAATAAAAAAAATAATAATGAAACGGGCCTTTTCATATTTTTTTTAGTTGAGCCAAATTTTGATTAAAAGTGGTCCTTTTCCGATCAAAAGAGCGTTTTTAACCCCCCCCCCCCCTCCCCCCAACTAATTCCACGCGACGTTATAAGGTCCCGCGGCAGGTTTGAAAAACAAACGACACTAAATTATTTAGTGCTCTCATTATTGAACGCCTTAGCTGGCGCTAATATACAAAAGCCGTATATGAGCTGCGACGAATGACCCAGAAATGACGTCACCAGCATTAAGGACAAATGACATTTCATCAAAATTGCTGAAAAGATTGCACAACTTCAATTGCAGACCTGCCTGATGCTACTCTACCTATGATTTGCTTTTTAAGTTTTGCTTCTTTTAGTTTTGAATAGATTTTTAACAAACGGCATAGATCGACAATTTAGTATGCGTACATCGTAAGCAAAGTCCCTTACAGCAGGTAGCTTGAATCGTGCAAAGAAAAACCAATCTAGAATAACAGTTGAAAACTAATTTTTGACTAAAAGTAGCGTCGATAAGGGATGACAAGCACCGTGCCCTTAAAGACATTTACTGAGGATTTTTACTAACCTTTTAGAACTTGTAATTTTCATGTTGTGCTGCTACTTGTCAATAGAAAGATTTACAAATTTGTTCTTCATTTTTTAAGCTGATTTTAAGGTACAGTTGCCTTTAAAATTGGCCAAAGCTGTTTTAACAGGAGTGTCCTTTTTTAGTGCTTAACATTGGCGGCATTTCCCGAAGCCACGCCCATGCCAAGAAGTTCTAAATATATATGAAATGTTATGTATAGAATATCAACCCAGATTTTCATAGGACTCTGAAAACCCACTTCTCTGATGTCAGTATGCCTCTCAGGCCCGTAGCCAGCGATTTCAAAAGGGGAGGGTTTTTTTCTGCAAAAGTGGACTTTTTACCATGAAACTTTCGTGTACCTAGATACCAATTTTACCCAGAGTGGGTGCGGATTTGATGTATTGTTCTTCGCTGCATTGTGCAGGGGTGATATTTTTTCGATTAAAACTATTAAAAGATCCCATTCACTCTTATGTCCAGTGGTTTGAATGAATGTTAAATGTCAAAGACAGAGGTAAAATATCTTATCACCAAATCCGCCGACCACCTCCTCCCAACAAGCGCGCGCGCACACACACATACGCACGCACACACACACACACACACACACACACACACACACACCTCCTACTTTGCCCTTAACAAAATATCATATTTCACATATTCCAGAACTACCTCAACCGACGCCAGTTGGTAGGCGGGGTGCCGGTGGAGGGCAACGCCTCGGACTATGAGGACGAGGACGACATGGTCTCTGATCACGACGAGATGGATTACGAGATTTACCCCAATCCGCATCTGGCCCGCAACAAGGCCCTCACTCGCCCCTACGAGGACGCCGGTCGCTTTGAGGCCTCTAAGCTACGGGAGGCTAAGGACACGGGCCCGAATAAGGGACATGGGCACAAAAAGTTCAGTAAGCGCGGCAGGCTTGTGACTTTTTACCGTAACGACGACCCACATTTCAAAGGTATTCAAACGGCTGTCAGCCAGAAGTGCTTTGTGTCTTTCGAAACTTTATTATCTTGGTTGACGGAAAAGATTCCTCTAACGAAGGGAGTTCGGCATGTGTTTAGCCTCCCCGAGGGGAGAGAGATAACGGACGTTAAGGATTTCGTTGGTGGTAAAGATTACGTTGTTTCAAACGATAAGAAAATACGTCTCAACGTTCAATACGGCAATTCTAAAGAACAATACTGGAATAACCGTAAGCCATCGGCAGGGAAATTTCGCAAACACGAAAAGCAATTATTTCTTGGTGAAAACGGAGATGTTTTGTCCACATCAAACGCTTCGCCTCGTATATTGTCCATTATGAGCAACACGCACAGGAATAGCATAGAAAAGGTGATCCTGAACCCGAAAACGAATCAAACTTTCGAAGAGATGTTGGAGGACATTACTGCAATGCTCAAGCTGCTAAAACCACCGGTGACCAGCCTTTATACGGCCAAGGAACCTTTTAGGAAGGTAAGACCCCATTCCCAGAGATTAGATCAATCCAAACTAGATCGACCTAACACCCTGGGGGTTCACGCTAAATAGCTGTCAGCCGAGCGGGCAAGAAAGTTAATTACCCCCTTACAGCTTGCAGTAGGCGGGACGGACATTTAAGCCGTAATCTAGTGAGACTCCCCACGGGGATAGATCGATCTAAATGTCTGGGAATACGCCCTAAGTGTCCAAATTGCGGAAGTTGAAGTATTGGTTAATATGTGTGGCCATCCTGTAGACTTTCAGGCTCAAATGGCCATCACTTTCACTTTCACTTTCACTTGTAAGAGCGCATTCAGAACAGTAGACTAACAGATCTGCGGATCAAATATAACAGACCTATTTGAATGTTTGTTGTGTAATCCCTGCGGGGAATCTATTCAGTGTCAAGCGGCAAGCTTTTAAGTCGGTGGCCATATTTGATCCGCGGATCAGTTTGTCCGCTGTTCTGAATGCCCTCTATTTAATGTAATCAGGACAACAGTACAATTGTTTTCCTCCAGCTCTCTTGTGAACTTGATGTTACGGNATTCCAATTGAAATCCGAGTACCCCAGAAAACATACGAACTAATAAAGCGTCCCCCTACTGAGGAAACAATCTTTGAAGAAATCGAGGACGAGGAGGGGGAAGAGGAAGAGGGCGATGGCGAAGCAAAGGGTGGAAACACCACAGACAGAAAAGACAACGCCAAGGATACCTCCGGACAGTCAGACACCTCTGCCGGCCTGCCAAGCCAGCTTCGCCGAGCTCTGAGAGAGGAGATCAGGCAACGCGCAGAGTCCGTTCTCGACAGCAGTCGTTATGGAGATACAGTCACCCCTAGTGCTTCCTTGCTACAAGATACTGGAAAACAAAGTCCTGATGGGAAGAAAGATGCGGCTTCATCAAAAGGAACATCCGGGAATGATGAGGGTGATAGAAAGGTTGGGTTTTATATGAATTATCAATTCATAATTGTTCCACCCCCATCCCCCTCCCTCCCCCCCCCCTCCCCGATTTCTCTCTTACTCATGCCACCAATAGCTACATATATGATTTTACTTGTTTCGTCTAATTTGGCTTTTTTAAAATGATACCCTCTCCTTTTTGCGGATATGATTTTGCAATATGATCGGGTTTCCGTCGAAACTTGCCAGTTAAATTTTGTCACGATGGAGAAAGCTAGGTAATATGTTACTGGAATTCAATCACTGCATTGTATCATGTTTACGTCTGATTAAGCCGAAAAAGGTTACCGAGCAGGTGTAATTATACACGTGTCTTGTATGGAGAGATGCGGGAAGGGAGGGAGGAGATGTCGAACATAAGATATACAGGGGCGGATTCAGAGATATTTTCTGACAGTCTTCCAAATTATCTTTGTTGATCCGTTCGTCATTTTTGACCGTCTTCCGACAGAAAAAAATGGATACCCGTCAATGTAAACTTGAAAATCTGACCGTCTTCCGGAAGACCCAGAATGCGAGAATATCGAAAATGCGACCCAAAGTGTGTCATCGGAGTATTTTCCTAAAATCCACCTCATTTGCCTTCACAAATTTTTACATGAACGCGCACCTCCATTTTTTTTTCAATTAGAAGTGATTCTACCTAGGGCTCTCAGTGGCGGATTTAGAGGGGGGGGG